GTTGGGAGCTCAGTTTTTTGAAAGGCTTGGCCAAGCTTAGCGTTCATCACGTGAGGACATGGAAGTGGGTGTGCAATGCACAAAAGAAGGTCACAGTCCGGGAAGGCAAGATGATGCTGGTCGAGGAATATGATCACATGTACATGGTTTTCAATGGTGAGAACTTGACAGACAACACAGTTGCAGTCTTCCCGACCGGTAGTCTATCCGAGCCCCCCCATGCAAAGGCTCCAAGTCCGGCCAATCCCGTGGTGGCGGTCCGCTAAAAGTTGTCTGTTCTTTCGACCCTTCAGGACAGGTTGTGGCCTGTTTCAACATGGCCGATGAGAACAAGTTCGCTCGCAGCCAGTGGAAGGAGGGAAGTGTGACAAGTGTTCGAGGAGCTTCTTGTGGGGACAGGTAACGAGACCCGACTCATCTAATTGGTCTGCTCGACAACTTTTGTAGAGTTGAGCAAACTATTTTTTTCTTAAGGAAGGCTCATGCATATGTCGTGTGAGAGCTCCTCAGTAGCAACCGTAACGTCGTTGCGTTAGTGGACGAGGCGAAGATGATGGATTACATTCACGAGTTTGTGAAGACACACACGGGGGACAATCGTAATCATTGTTTTTTTGTCGAGACTAGCGGCGAACGAAACTCGGATCCCAAACAACATATGTACTGCAAATTGCCGGAGAAGAAAAAGTGGGAAGTTTAAACCTTCCTTTTCCCACCGGGACCGGCTGCGCAGACCAACATGAAATATAATCGACGAAGAAACCTTGTGTTCGGTGTGCTAAACGGTTACCACGTTGCGTCGTGGGATTCGGTCTCAAAATTCGTGAAAAGCTAAGTAGCCAATCCGGATATCCGGACACCCTTGATTTATCCAGATTTGCAGACCGGATAATATTGTCGAATGAAACCCGATTAAGTATACCGGAGGGTTAAAAGTATGGCACTTAAAAAAAAAAAAAAAAAAACATCTAAAAAACATCTAAAAGCAAAGTATGTTGTAGATTATAACAATACCAGCAACTTTTGGCTGGGGGTGATTTCAAAATTCCTATTAGATCTGGAGATAAAAAAAGAATAAAAAAAATATTTCCCATAATTTATCCCGAAATTTCGGATTAACCTTTTTGCCCCGGATGTTCCGGCCAGATAGTCTCGACAGTTAATCCGGCTGGACATGACATGCTACCTAGCTGAAAAGGTTCGAGCATGTTTTCATTTTGAGGGCATAACCACTAACCCTCGAGAACTACAAGACAACTTGAAGAGGTTAACCGTTTCGACACTCAAGACATAGAGGAGATAAGGGACTGCGAATCCTTCGATTTCGAGTCCATGCCACTTCCTGAGGTGGTGACACAAGTTGGTGATGAAGGGGAAGGTGGTTCTCAGAGATATAGCACGTCCCTTACCGGTTTGAAGCGTGCATTTCAGCGAGATGCAATCGAGGAATATTCATCCGATGATGAGGAAGAAGAGAGAAACTACGAATACGCACTGTTGACAAACTCCCTGAGGACTATGATACCTGGGAGAATGATAGACTCTTCTTTTACGGGAAACACCACCGGTTCACAACATAGGATGTCTGGGGCCACAATGTTGTTTGGCACCTCAAAAAGTTCCAACCTGCTGTAAATAACGAAAAGTGGGTTATGGCAATAAAAGAAGTCTTTCTGACCATGCCGTTTTACAAACACACACACACACACACACACACATACACACACACACGCACACACACACACACACACACACACACACACACACACACACACACACACACACACA